CTGCCGCTCCCGTGTCGGCGGCCACCGCCGTGCCGACTGCCGCTCCCGTGTCGGCGGCCACCGCCGTGCCGACTGCCGCGGGCCCTGATGCGTCATGCCTCAGCCACTCTTTCGGAACCCGTGTCAGGGCGTCTGCGCGATTTTCGTCTGACCTGACCAGGGTCACTGTCAGCACGAGACCCATTTCTTCCACCAGCTGGCGAATAAGGTCGACACGCCGCCGGATTAACATCTCGCCGTGTGCCTTAGTGCGGAGCCGGGCTCGCCCACTCAGAGCGTCGTCAATCCATCGATGGACTGTGGCAGAGTCAGTTCGCAGCTCAACAGTTCTCATCCCCCATGCGATGGCTAGGTTGATACCCTTCACAGCAGCATCCAGTTCAGCCATGTTTATGTGGGTAGAAGCAGCAGCTTCACGCCTCAGCCAGCAGGCATCCTCCACAGGGCCACCGTCTGCGGTCTCCAAAACAACGCCTGCGGCCAGCGAGCTGGCATCCGTCCACACCACGGCCGCGTCACCTGAGACACACCACACGCCGTGCGCCGGATCGTCACTGTTCACCCGTTCAGCCACATGATCGACCTGCGCCTGCAGCGTACGGTCCGCTGTCATGTCGTCCCAGCCGCGTGTCACAGCATTAGCACGGCGTTTGAGCCAGGCTGTAGCGGGACGCAGCCACCCACAGACCGGGAGGTGGGCCACCAGGCGACCGCACCAAGCAAACACGCTGCGGCGGGTCAGCGGGCTGGGCGGGGGGCCGACAGGGTTGTCTCGCTCCCAGTGCAGCTCGTCACGCAGTGGGCGAACTCGCAGTCCGAGCAGCCGCGCACCATCAGACACACGCTCAGGGGCCTTGCACTCGAGTCCATACCTGGCGAAATGACTGACAACCCGCTCCGCGCTCGCAATGTCCTCATCTACCAGCAAGTCATCCACATATGAGAGCACTGCACGCTGGATTTCAGGGTCCTGTGCCAGCACAGCACTGACGACCGCCTTCATGACTAGCGGCCCTAGGCTGAGTCCAAATCCAAGCCTCCCCAGATAGAAGCGCTGGCCACGAATCTCAACCGCTTGATACGGCCATAGACTTTCGTCGAGATGGATCTGAAGGTACGCCTTTTTGAGGTCAACGACCGCCACGTTTCTGCCGTGACGCCGCCACTTCCTCAGCTGATCGGCGCAGACATCTGCTTCAGCGGTGTGGGCGTTTAGGTGGCTGTTTAACTCCCGATAGTCCAGCACCGGCCTCACTTTCTCCTTATTCTTCTGTTGTACAGCCATCAGCGGTACGAGCCCTCGCGGTGGGCCGAGCCGCTGCTCGTCGTATGGCAGCAGCCAGCCGTTGCTGATCCATGTGTCCAGCTCCGTGTCAAATTCGTAGCGGGCGGACCGTGGCACGGAGTACTGGGGCACAGAGTTTTTCCAGGCACTCAGGGCCAGAGTTGTCCGCCCACTTCCAAGCCACAGTCCACTTTCGCTCTGCCGAGTCGAACCGCACACTAAAGTCCGGCGCGTCAACTTCGAGTGGTGCACGGGCAGCGGCTCCACAGAAGCGGACTTGAGACGGTGACTGCACACTGACACCCCCCAGGCTAGAGATGCCAGACATGCCGATAATTAGTTCCACTCCCAGGGGCCGCTCGCTCACCACCAGCACACTCACTCGGGCCCGCTGCCCGGTCACAGTCACCACGTCAGCACTGCCCGAGCCAGTGCACTGAAACTCGTCACCGCTCATCGTCGTCACCGAGACAGGTCCACGCTGCCATTGTTCGCAGAACGGTGCATAAATGATGTTATCGGTGCAGCCGGTGTCGATTAGCGCTCGACAGTCTCGCCCGTTGACTCGCAGTTGCACGACTGGCAGAGCGCCGCTCAGTGCTGCACGCGAGAGGACGCCGGCGCTGACTCGTCCTCTCCTCCGTCGTTTCCCGCAGCTCGGCGGGGGCATGAGGAGGACATATGGCCTATATCACCGCATGCCCAGCAGCGCCACGGCCGGCTGGCCCGGCGCGACGGTCCCTCCTGCGCTGACAGCCGCTGACGGGAGGGGGCGGGGGCGAGGGGTGCCGGCCCGGCCGCCGCCGCCGCCGCCGCCGCCGCCGCCACGCGCTCGTCGCTGAGCACAGCTCTGGCGCGCGCCAGCACACTGGCAAGGTCGAGCCCTTCCGCTCTAGACCCAGCCCGCACCATCTGCCGAACAGACTCGGGCAGACCTGCTACAAAAGCGCAGGTCAGCGCACGCTCCGGTACGCCACCAAACAGCTGTGCCAGCCGCTGAAGGTCCGCCAGAAACACATCGGCTGACTCTCCACTGCGGAGTCTTCGGGTGGTGAAGGCCTCGTATGCTGCATGCTGATCAAGCGCAAAAGCCTGGTACAGGCCTGCGCGTATGGCCGCCAAACTGCCACGGCTTTCGTCCGGCAGCTGCGCCCACACGGCGAAGGCTCCGCCGGTCAACCGGAGTGGGATGATCGCTGCTGCATCCACTCCGCGGTGCTGGCAGAGCAGCTCCGCTCTGCCCAGCCATTCGACCACATCGCCGGTCCCATCGAATTCGGCGATCACACGCGCGTCGAATGCGACACTGGGCGCCACCACCACGGTCTGTCCACTCGAGTCCACTCCTTTCACGTCTACAGTCCCACTGCCGGTCTTGTTGGCCATTTTTCGCAATGCCGAAATAGCTTGTAGTTTCTGTATGTATTCCCACACGGTCGCTCACCCACCACGGGCTATCGCCGACCTCACACTGCCGCGGCCCGCGGCTCCCGTCCACCGCGTGTCGCACCGCGTGTCGCCGCCGGGGAGACACATGGCCGGCACATGGGCCCGCGTCGGCCGAGTCCGACCCCAGCCCCGTCCACCCAGCCCGGGTCCGGGCCAGACCGATACAGTTACAGGAACAAAAAAAAAACGAGCTACCCCTATTTTTCTCCTCGGATTTCGGGAATTATTATTTTTTTGATTTTTTACATTTTTGTCAGTCCGGCCAAGCCAGGGCAGCGCAAAAAAAAATTTGCAGCCACCCTGACCCCGGGAGATAGTTAGAGAATAGCTCACCGGCGCTATGGACGGTCCGTCCTCTACCTCAGACTCAGACTCAGACTCAGACGTGTATTAAGGAAATCCACTAAAAGCGGCTATTACATCCTCTCGTCAAAAATTAAAACGGTGGTTTCAAAGTCAAGATAAAGAGAGACAAGCATCACAATCACACTCGCATACATCATAGTCAAGATAATACAAGAAACATAGATACAGACAATACCAGCACACATACACACCAGATGGTTAGCTCAACGTCAGGTTGGATCCGTCAGCAGCCGCATGAGGCGGTGCTTAAAAACAGGCACCGGGAGCCCGAGCAAATCGGGTGACAGGCGGTTGTAAAGAACCGGACCACGGCTGATGAAGCGCCTCTTGCCTGCTTCGGTTCTAGATCGGAGCACATATAGTGAGTGGTCCTGTCGGGTCACCCTAGCTTGCGCTCCTAGTGAGATCCTCACTCAAAGTTTGATAAATCGCCCGATGAATTAGAATCCGACCCCTAAGCACAATGACATAGGCAAGCACCTCTCTAAAACACACCATACAGCGATTCTTTTAGAGATGTCGCTTCAGAAAATGCTGCAAGGTCTTCCTCTACTGTTTATCGATTCGCAACAGGTGCTACAAGTTCTATATCTTCAAAGGAAATGGCAACTAAAGACCTAAGAGCAGTGGGCAAGGGGCAGAAGAAGCTGAAGTTAAGGGCGAGTGGTGTTGATAATTAAACGTGTCAATACTATTAGCCATTTTACGCTCTAAACAAACGAAAAAATACACTTTGGTGTTTGTATGGAAGTTTTCATGGGTTGCATTTCAGTCAGATTTTATAGGCTTTGAGTATTTTTGTATATCCCAGTATACATGTCACTGAGCATGCGCGATGACCTTCACGCCTGAAATGTCACCAATCTGGTCATAATTATTGGCACCAAAGCTCTCAGCCAAAAAAGTTTCGTTGCACTCCATTCATGGGCGAATTGGCGGGACTCAAGAGGATATGTAGATGGGAGGCAAGACTGGCAAAAAAGGCTTAAATCAAGGCGTCAAAAGCTCACAAGGCCCATAGCCAACGCAAGAGATGTTGAGAATTGTGTGGTGTCGCGAGCTGCTCCCCCTGCCCGGGGGCCTGGCGACGCCACTTGCTCCCCCTGCCCGGGGGCCTGGCGACGCCACTGGCGGCGCCGGCGCGCGCGGGGTTCGGGAGAGTCGGCCGCCGGCCCGCGCGGAGTGCGGTTGCTGCAGGAGCGATCGGTGTTTGGCGCTCTGGGAAGTTTAACGCCATGCGGCTTTGGTTGTGAATAAAGAACTCACGTTACAACATCCTGGCGACAAGGATGACATGCAGCTGACATGCCAGACGTCAGTTGTGACTGTGAGTCGCGCGAGTGGTGACGGCCGGGATTCGGGCGCGAGCGAGTGGGCACTGAGGACGGACGGTAAGATGCGGAGCGAAACGGTTGCTAAATTGAAATGCTTAGTGCGGCTTAGTGCTTAGTTTTTTTTTTCGCTGCTGCATGTGTTCGTTGGTTCGCCCGTCGCCCGGCGGCGATACGCGCGCGGCGTGCCGTTTTTTTTGCCCGATGGCCGATCGTGGTGGCAGCCATGTTGCGCAGCGGACGGCGGCGCTGGCGTTGGCGGGCCGCGCTGTGATTGGACCGGCCGGTGGTGACGTCAGACGGGCACGACGCGTGTGATTGGCCGAGACTCACCGCTCGGTGACGTGACTGTGGCGTCACGGTCACGTGACTCCCCCGCTCGGGAAAGCGCGGGAAACCGTTGCGGCGGCCGCGGCGGCGGCAGAGTGCGGCAGAGTGGGAAGAGAGGAGCGGAGTGCGGTGACGGCCGGGTGCGTCGAGTAGACCGGGATACGCGGTGACGGCCGGAGTTCGCGGCGGCGGTCGGGGTTTTGAGCGATCGGGGCAGTGCAGCGCAGCCCTCGATCAAGATGAACAGCACGGGACTGTCGATTCCGGCGGTGGAGCCGTTTCGGCAGGGCGACGACTTCGGCCGATGGTTGCGCGGTGTCGAGCGTTACCTGTGTGCGGTCGGGATCCAGGAGGCCGACCGGAAGTGTGCGGTGCTGTTGCACCTAGTCGGGCCGGACGTTGCCGACCTCAGCGAGACGCTGCCGGAGGAGACGAGCGAGACGGCCAACAGCTTCGAGCGGCTCACGGGGAAGCTGACGGCCTACCTGTCTCCGGTCAGGAACGCGGTGGCAGAGCGCTCTCTGTTCCACGGGATGCAGATGGAGCCTGAAGAAGACCTGGAGAGGTTCCTGGGTCGCCTGCGAGCGCAGGTCGTGCGCTGCGGCTATGCAGCCACTGAAGTGGACCGGGAACTGCGCGATCGGTGCGTGCTGGGGAGCCGAGCCGATCTGCGGGCCAAGCTGGTAAAGCTGGCCGCCTCGAAGGGCGACGGTTTGACCCTGGCCGAGGTACGGCAGACGGCACGCGCGCACCGCGATATGGAGCAGCTCGGTGCTCAGCTGGGCGGCACGCGGTTGGCCGAGGCACCGGCAGCAGACGCCGAGGGAGCCGTCAATGCCGTGAGGTCGCCACAGTCACGGCTCGGAACCTGCTTCCGCTGCGGTGCTGCTGGTCATTGGCAGCGCGACTGTCCAGCGGCCGGAGCTGTGCCGCGTGCACGAGACAGTCACCGTGTACGCGACAGCCACCGTCCGGCTGGCCGAGCGGCCAGCGGCGGGCGCGTAGGAACGACCGGCGCACGAGGTCAGGCTGGCACGCCGGACAGGAAGAGCAGTGACGGCCCGGTCAGGCTCCGGCGATGCTTCAAGTGCGGCTCCACCGGGCACCTGAAGGCGGCATGTCCGCAGCGGCGGGTGCGGCTGGTGGCTGCGGAGGAGGAACAGACGGACGGCGACGGCGACGCGTGGCTGGTGAGCTCAGTCGGCGGCGACGCGTGGCTGGTGAACTCAGTCGAAGCCAGCGCCGCGAAGCCGGAAATGAAGACGGTGACGGTGAACGGCCAGCAGCTGACCATGGTCGTGGACACGGGGAGCCCGGTGTCGCTGGTGAGCGTGGAGACAGCGCGGCAGCGGGGGCTTCTGCAGCAGCTGGACCCGTGTGACCTGCGCCTGACCTCGTTCACAGGTCAGGCCATTCCCTTGAGAGGGGAGGCGCTGGTAAGCGTCACGGCGTCAGGAAGACCCGCGACCCGTCTGCGGCTGGTGGTGACCGGGTTTGGACCCCACCGCCCGCTGATGGGACGCGAGTGGCTGCAAGCGCTTGGTCTGATGACGTCACCGGCTCGGGTATGCCGCGTGCAGCCGGCGCGGACGCTCGAAGGCGTGCTGGAGAGGCACTCGGCGGTCTTCAACGAGGAGCTGGGACGCATCCCGATCAAGGTGGGACTGCGGCTGAAGTCGGACGCCAAGCCGGTGTACCGACGGGCGCGTCCGGTGCCGTTCGCCCTGCAGGAGGCGGTGGACCGCGAACTGGACCGTTGGGAGGAGCAAGGGATCGCCGAGAAGGTGCCTCCTGGACACTTCTCCGGATGGGGTACGCCGCTCGTACCCATCCCCAAGAAGGACGGCGTGCGGCTGTGCGCGGACTATCGGATCACGGTGAACCCGCAGCTGCAGCCTCTGAAGTATCCGATGCGCACACCGGAGGAGTTATTCGCCAGCATCCGAGGGAAAAAGTTCTGCAAGCTGGACTGCAGGAACGCCTATCTCCAGTGCGAGCTGGACGAAGAGAGCCGAGAGATGACCACCGTGACCACACACCGTGGTGCGATGCGGATGAACCGTCTCCCGTACGGGATCAGCACCTGTGGAGCGCAGTTCCAGGCGATCATGGACCAGGTGCTGGATGGTCTTCCAGGAGTCGTCTGTTACCTGGACGACGTGCTGATCGGCGCCGACAGCGACCGTGAGCTGATGGACAGGCTGGACCGGGTGCTGGAGCGGCTGAAGGACAACGGCGTCCGCCTCAAGAAAGAAAAGTGCCAGTTCGGAGTCCGAGAAGTGGTGTATCTCGGTTGGCGACTGTCTGAGGCGGGTCTGCGCCCAGTGCAAGAGAAGATGGCGGCCGTCACAGCAGCACCTGACCCTCGGAACGTGCAGGAGCTGCGATCTCTGATCGGGTCAGTCAGTTATTATCAGCGGCTGCTGCCCAACCTGTCTACCGTGCTAGCGCCGCTCTACGCGCTACTGAAGACGGGCGTCAAATGGGCATGGACGGCGGAGTGCGCCGCGGCAGTGCGCCGTGTGAAGGACATGCTGTCCACGGCGCCGGTCCTGATGCGGTACGACCCCGTGCTGCCGCTGCGGCTCGTCACGGACGCCAGTGCGACAGGAGTCGGAGCGGCTCTGATGCAAGTGACGCCCGAGGGGCTCGAGAGGCCGGTACAGTACGCCTCCCGAACGCTCACTCCGACGGAGAGGAAGTACGCCCAGGTGGAGAGGGAAGCCGCAGCCGTCTCGTTCGGAGTGCGGCGGTTCCACCAGTTCCTGTTTGGTCGGCCGTTCACCCTGGTGGTCGACAACAGGACGCTCTCCAGGATCCTGAACCCGGACCGTGAGCTGCCCTCTCTGGCGGCGGCTCGCATGCAACGGTATGCGCTGCAGCTCGCGGCGTACCAGTACAAGATCGAGCTGCGCCGGACGGAGGACATGAGGCTGGCGGACACGATGTCCCGTCTGTCGGTGCCGGACGAGGCGGAGAACCAGCTGTCGGCAGAAGAGGAGGCGGCGTACGGCGGAGGCGGCGTAATGTTCATCGCCGAACAGGGGCCGTGTTTGACCGCGCAGCATATAGCAGTGGCCACGCGCCGAGACCCGGTGCTCGCCCGCGCTCTGGCGGCGGTGCGATCGGGCTGGCCGGCGGTGGTGGACCCGGACCTGGCTCCCTTCAAGAATCGCCGAGAGGAGCTGACGACCGAGGCCGACTGTCTGCTCTGGGGCGGCCGAGTCGTCATCCCGAGCAACCTGCGCGACACCGTCAAGCGGGAGCTGCATGAGGGTCACTTCGGCTGCACTCGCATGAAGCAGCTGGCGAGGCGCTTTGTGTGGTGGCCGGGACGCGTATTCGCCAATTGTATTACACGAATCGGCCCATCAACTAGCGACATCTCTAGTGCGACGTCATAGCCATCCGCCGCGACAATGCATGCATTGAGGCTAGATTTGAGTTGAGGCTTTTTTTGCAATTGTATATGGCAATCAAATATGTATGTGTCGCCGTAGCCGAGTGGTTAGAGTCTCGGTGTGGTGGACGAAAGGTTGGTGGATCGATTATTGCTTTAGCGGTTCTTTTCTCTTAAAAAGAAGTCGGTCGTAGACGCGCATTTTTGGCCCCTACGTTCGCACGCCAATATCGTACGCCCAATAAATCTCTGACAAGTATTCATCTGATTAAGGAATAAGTTGCAAAAGAACTGCAGTTGCAGTCTATACCTGAACTACCAATTTTGTTACGGCACTGTCGATATTCGTCAAAGTCGGAAGAGCTATTATGAAACACACTCGAATGACAACGGATTCCTGTATTATTTCATCGATCAGATAAGACATGTATAGAGATAAATTGATAACAGCCCGCCGTGAGCATGCAACTTAACAACCAGTCCCAAGTTATCTTCATAAACGTCTAATATAGATCTTTTTGACTTTAACTAGATTCCAAGTAAGGGGACTAGGTATCCCCCTGGCGGCTGAAATGTAAAAGTTATAGTTAGGGCATAGCTCCTATAGATGACGCTCTGACGGCTGAAAACTGATGATCTCGTCCCGTGATTACGCTAACAGCTATGCCGAACTTTTTTGTGCATGGTGATTCTTACACGAAAAGCTATCTAATAGCCTGCTTACCAGCGTGCGATTTTTACTTTTCATCTTAGTTTTCGCTACTTTTAGGTACTTTACCTTGCCAAGTGCTCACCTACTTTCAAAAGGTCAGCGCCGCCCCTGTCAATGCTGCGTGCTATCACCCATTGGCAGTGAGAAATATTGATCAATGTGAATGAATGGCCATCGCCCAGCACCATTTGTCTTTCCATTGGCTACGTTCGCATAGTATGCACTATGCATTAGTGATGTTAATCACAGAAAATCAGAACACCGCTACCAAACCAAATACAAACAAAGACCATTGGAAAATACCGAAACCGAACCAATCGGTTGGACTGCAAATATCTATCTTATGCAACATATTCATTAGAAGAATGCCTACGTCTGATTTCTTGGGTGCGCGCCGTTGCAAATGTATAAAAAACGCACAATGACAGATGACACGAAAATCGAAGTCGCCGAGTGGATTCGAACCACCTACCTCTGAATCACCAGTCAGATAGTCTAACCACTTCGCCACGGCGACATCATATTATACGCAGCTTAAATGTCATTAATTTAAAACCTAGCTTCAATAGACGGGCGAGGACCGAAAGTATGACGCCACGCTGACGTCACTCAGGAGGCACGCTATTGGTCGGCCGATTCGTGTAATACAATTGGCGAATACGCGGCCGGGACTCGATGCTGAGCTGGAGGCGCTGGCTCGCGGGTGTCAGGCGTGCGTCTCAAAGCGAGCTGAGCCGCCGCAGGCGACACGGCACCCGTGGGAGCCGACGGACGGCCCGTGGCAGCGGGTGCACGCCGACTTTGCTGGGCCGATGCTGGGCCATTCCTTTTTGATAATGGTCGACAGCTACACAAAATGGATCGAAGCTGTGCCGATGAAGACGACGACGGCGGCCCGGACGGTGGCCGTGATGCGCGATATTTTCGCCCGTCTGGGACTGCCAGTGCAACTGGTGACCGACAACGGCCCGCAGTTCGCCAGTCAGGAGTTCGCGGCGTTTGTGCGGTCAAACGGCATTCGTCACACTCGTGTCGCGCCGCACCACCCCTCGTCAAACGGACTGGCGGAGAGAGCAGTCGGCACCGTCAAGAACGCGCTCCGAGTCTGCGCGGCGGCCGGTGGGGGAGTGGACCTCTCTCTGTCACGCGCGCTCCTGGCGTACAGAGTGACGCCCCACGCCGCGACTGGACGGACTCCCGCCGAGATGCTGTTCGGTCGGAACCTACGAACTCGGATGAACCTCATGGTTCCGAGCGCCGAGACAGCTCTGCAGGCGGCTCGGGACCGGCAGCGTGAGACGGCCGGCGGACGGAGCAGGGAATTCGCCGTGGGAGCTACAGTGTGGGCCCGCTCGTATGACGGTCGTCAGAAGTGGGTCCGCGGCACGGTGGTCGCCCGCCCTGGTCCCGTGTCGTATGAAGTGGATGTGGGACACGTAATCTGGTCGCGCCACGTTGACCAGCTGTTGGCGGCGGCGGCTGACCCAGGGAACAGCGCCGGCGGTGACGTCAGAGCGACGACCAGCGGTGACGTCAGAGCGACCACCGGCGGTAGTGTCCGAGCGGCGACCCGTGGTGACGTCAGAGCGGCGACCGGCGGTGACCGGGCTGGTGGCGCCGGCGGCAGCGCCGGGCGCCCTGTCGGAGACGATCGCGCCAATGGCCTCGGTGACGGCAGCCCCGCCGGCGTCGCCGGTCAGGCCTGTGACCGGGGAGCAGTCGGCCTCGGCCGTGCCGGTGATCTCGGCGGCGGCGGTGATGCCGGTGACCCCGGCGGCGACGGCCGTGCCGGTGACCGCGGCGGCGGTGGTGATGCCGGTGACCCCGGCGGCGACGGCCGTGCCGGTGACCGCGCAGTGTCAGAAAAGTGGCCCGTTTCTAAGTTTTCTTGAACTCGGAAGATTTGTTCTGCGAAAAGTCTTGACTAAAGTAAAGCAATTTTTGTTCTGTGAGCAAACGTTCCCTAAACAGATGGCCAATGATTTTTGTGTAACAATGTACTTTTTCTTCTTCAGCAGATTTAGTCATCTCTCTCCAGTCTCCATGGCTACTGAATGAAGACCTGGACTCCTGAATAGAATGCAGTACAAACTACTGACCTACTCCCAAGAACCAGCACCGCCTGCTACTCTAAGTTCACCAGCTGACAGCTGTTGGCAAAACTTTCACTGGTAACCTTGTCCCTCACAATAACTGGTATTAGATTGGCAGCCTGAAGCCCATCAACTGTGATGTGTTATGAACAGGTGATCTGTGAATGGTGATCACACAGTGTGTGCGTGCATTAACAATTAATCCTGTATTTTTTTAATAAAAATGTTGAAAATATTGTCACTCTTTCAACATCTGGTTCAACATGTATGATATGAATGAAGGACTACACAGCATGCAGGAGCTGGAAATGGGCAATGCCCCAATGGATATGCAGACTTAACGTAATCAGGTGAGATAAACCTGAAAAGCTCGATTTCATATCCATATTAGCATGCAGTGCCTACAAAGTAGTGAATGCTTTAAAAAAAACTTAGCTGACAGGCAACAGCAGTTCAAGTTAATAACGTAGTCAGGTGAGATAAACCTGAAAAGCCTGATTAATTTACACGTACACTGGTCTGAGAAACAACACTACCAAGCTAGTGAGTAGTAAATGGGCAATGCCCCAAATGGATATGCAAACTTAACATAGTCAGGTGAGATAAACCTGAAAAGCTCAGCTTGATTAATTTACATGTACACTGTTCTGAGAAATGACACATATACCAAGCTAGTGAGTAGTAAATGCTATCAGAAAATTATGGGTACTGGATAAGCATATTACCCATAATACCTATATCAGCACAACCAATCCTACCTTTAAAATCACCTTCTCACACAAATCAAACCAAGGCCCTACATCAATATAGGAAATCACAAAAATAACACGCGAGTCATATAGGAGACGAGTCATGAGTCTTGGCCTTTTGACGTCTAAAACACTGCCATCACCGCACCAACAAGTTCGCTACCCGCCCGGCTCCCTTCATAATGCAACCGGGCGCAAACTTGTTCTGGATTCTCATGTGCGTGAAGTTACCTTACCTTACCTTACCTTAGAAGTACACGGAATTTTGAGGCCAAGTAGCAGGCCTATTGGACCGGATCATTACTTTAAACTCGCTCTGTTTCTATTGATCGAAGACTGATGAATATTGGATGTTTTTCCAGTGGGAGTCGAGTCGGGACTTGAAGGCATTGACAGTAGGTGCGGATACAACAGAGGGAGGCAGGCCGTTCCAGCTGTTGATTGCTCTGACTCCCAGAAAGTTCCTCCTCGCTCTTGATCTTGATCTTGGCTTGTGGAGCTTCAAATGATGGCCTCGAGTAATCCTGGAGCTTGCCAATGGAAGGAGACCTGGGCGCACATCGAGGGAGCCCCGGAGTATCTGGAAGACCGTTATCATGTCTCCTCGTAGGCGTCGATACGTAAGTGAGGGCAGGTCCAACTCCCTGAGTCTCTGCGAGTATGGCTTGGGCCGTAGTTCACGGACCAGCTTGGTAGCACGTCTCTGGACTCTCTCTATCTTCTTTTGGTCTCCCTTCGATGGCGGTCCCCATATACTGTTACCATATTCCAGGTGAGGTCTTATCAAGGTCCTGAACAACACAGTAAGCATGTCTTTGCTAAGATTTCCAAACGATCTGCGGATGATTCCGAGGAGCTTGTTTGCTTTGGCCACAACCCTTGCTGTCTGAACATGAAACTTCATTGCACTGTCTATTGTCACGCCTAAGTCCTTTTCTTCGTCAACAGCAGTGAGGTTTGATTCAAACATTTTGTAGCTGACACAGGGGTTCCTGGGACCCATGTGGAGCACCTTGCATTTGTCCAAGTTGAGTGGGAGTCTCCAGCGTTGTGACCACTCAGCTACTTTGTCGATGTCTTCTTGAAGTCGAAGTCTATCACTGGGGGACTGAACAGGACCGAACAGCTTGGAGTCGTCCGCGAAAATCTTGATATGACTTTCAAGATGGTCAGGCATGTCATTGATGTATATGAGAAATAACAAAGGACCCAGTACGGAACCCTGAGGAACACCACTTTTCACCTTAGAGCTGCTTGACAAGGCGCCTTCGACCAGGACCTGCTGGGTGCGATCAGACAGGAATGCTTCGACCCATTTCAACACCCTTCCATCAACACCATAGTACTTCAGCTTAGAAAGAAGAAGACCATGTGGGACCGAATCAAATGCCTTGCTAAAGTCGAGGTAAATGGTGTCGACAGGCTGCCCAGAGTCTATTGCTCGCGTCCAGTCATCCATAGCTTCAAGGAGCTGGGTTGTACAGGACCTTGCAGGACGAAAACCATGCTGGTGAGGACTAAGCAGATTGAAGCTCGCTAGGTGAAACATGATCTTGTCCCTGACAACTGATTCCATGATCTTGCAAACGACTGAAGTTAAGCTGACTGGTCGGTAGTTCTTTGCATTTTCCCGGTCGCCTTTCTTGAAAATGGGAACTACTGTAGCGTGACGCCATGTTTTCGGAACGATCGACGTTTCCATGGACTTGTTGAACACCACAGCAAGAGGATGGGCAACCAATGGCGCCAACTCTTTCAAAACTCTGGGATGAACCCCATCTGGACCTGGTGCTGCTGACACATTGAGACTCTCGAGCTTGGACGTGACCTCAGCGGGGCTCACCGACATGTCACTGAGGATCTCATCAATTTGAGGGAGTCTCTCGATGCTCTGGGCTGGCGAGGCAATTGGTTCACTTGTGTAGATACTGCTGAAATGCTTGTTCAATATCTCAGCTTTCTCATGTGGTTCATATCTTGGTATACCTTGTTCATCTATGATAAGGTCGATTCCAGACTTGGTTTTGAGGCGAGAGTTGGCGTACTTCCAAAAAGCTTTTGGGTTGTCCTTCAATTGAGATACTATGGATACTTCAAGTTGGGTTCTCAGCTTCCTCGTCATTTTTCTAAGGGCGTTCCGTGCAGCAGCATATCTAGCAAAGTCCTCTGGGCGTCTAGACTCCATGTATATGGCCCACAGATTTCGTTTCTTTTTACGCAGTCTCAAGGCTTCTTTGTTCATATACAAGTTTTTTGCTTTAGCAATCTTAGTCTTCGGCACAAACTGTTCAATGAGGCCCGCTATACTGTCTTGAAACAATGTATAGGCATTCTCCACATCAAGCCCTATCATTGAACCCCAGTTGACTTTGCTTGCCTCAAGCCTTAGCTTGTTAAAGTCAGCCTTGTAAAGGGCAGGCTTCAGCTCTCTATGAACAGATTGTATTGTGTAGCAGTTCACTGTAAATCGCAAAACCAGATGATCACTCATGTTTAAGCCAGGCAGATACTCGAGGTTTTTGATCATCCCTTCTTCATTAGTGATGACAAGATCCAAAACACTTGGTGTAGTACCTTCACGGTATCGTGTAGGGTGCAATATGTGCTGGTGAAGGAATACATCATTCATGGTCTCCAGGAACTGGTGAGTGGGATGCTCTGGAGGCATTTGGCTTGCCATAATGTTCCAGTCAATGTGTGGGTAATTAAAGTCACCAGCCAGAAGAAAGTGAGAAGAAGATCCACACACTTCTCTGAGCAGACTACAAACCTGAAGTGTACTTTCAAGAACATTTATGCTGGGGCTCCTATACAAACATCCTAGGAGCAAAGTATCACTACCCAGCAGCGGTATTGAAAGCCAGAGTACTTCTACCAAGCTTCGGGGTGAGAAAGAGATGGTTCGGCATTTTAAATGGTCTTTAGCATAAACGCATAACCCTCTCAACCCCAAAGATCCAAGACTTGGTTTCTCTGGATCAAAATTCATAAATACTTTGTAGCCTGGTATCATGAAAACCGATACAGAGAGAGGGACAACTTGAGCTTTTGGGATAACCTCAGTTATCAATATCAAGTCTGGTTCTGACCCAGCAATCTCCAGCAGTAGACAGTCCCTCTTGTTCACCAGTTGATCTGCATTTGTGTACAGTATCTTTAGTCCATTCCTTCTACCATGACCTTGTTTGAGTCATTGCTGTCTTTGTTGAGCCCCACGCCCAGCCTGCATGGTTCTGGGCACTTCAGATTGGGGTGTGCTTCCTCGTCTGGTTGTGTCAGCTCTTGACTCAGCCGACTGAGGCTTCGGATTCTCTTGTCTCGCAGAGTTGGAGAGCTTAACAATAGCACCACGCCTTATGACAAGACCTTGCTCACCAGATGCTTTTCTGTTTGCCAGTTCTTGTCTCAGCTTCCTGTTGATCTCCCTCTCAGCAGGGGTCAAGTCAGGATTTATGTATAGGTTCCTCCAAGCTGAATTGTCTCTAAGCTGGGCTGACATGCGGAGGAGCTCTTGCCTTGTTTCCAGGTCTTCCATCGTGACCACCAGCAGTCTTGGTCGGTCACTCTGGAGTTTTCCGACCCTATGACACCTCACAGCCTTGATGTTCAGTCTGAGATTTTCTCGGATGATGCTGGTGAACTTCATCAAGTCCAGCTTCTCCCTTGTTTCTCCCTCAGCTGGCTCGCTTTCTGGCAGGTTAAAGACAACAACATTGAGTTTCCGCCTCTCTTTGTCAAACACAGCATTGACAGCACTGCAGATTTCCTTTGACTCCTCTAGCTGATGTTTTGCCCCTTTTACACCATTTACCTTGCTGGACACATCTTTGATCAGGTCAGCACAAGAACCCCTGACAACCTCGGCAAAGGATGCCTTTGTCTCTAATTCTCTATTAAAAGATCGCTGAATCAGCTGTTTCTGTTCTGCAGCCACCTCTTCCTGATGGCGAAGGGCTCGAGTTACCAGCTTGATGTGTTCAGAGATCCCAGAAGCCAGTGACTCTACTCTGCGATTTACGTTCTGCACCTTGTCCTCAAATGACTCAAGGGTATCACCTACTGTTGAAGCCATAGACTCTACTTGTTCATTTACTTTCTTCAGTACCACGTTTTCAATTGATTCTAAGGTGTCTCTAACTTTTCGGTCATCATTTGCTCGGGAAGAGAAGATTTGTATGTGACAGGATGCGCAGAACCAGTGCAGCATAGCGAATTTACCTGCAGCGCTCACCGCACCCTTTGGAATCGCTTGGCATGCACTGTGGAACCAAGCCGAACATTTATCACATGCGATGGCGCTTTCTCCATCCTTAACTGGTTCCCCACAACGTGGCTTACCTGGTCCTCCCTTGCATACGATCAGTTCCGGCTCATCGGAACTCGGAGTGCGCGACCTTCCACCAAAAACAGTAAAGACACTGTCATCAAGCCTTTTAACTGCTGAACCATATTTCCCATCTTTTTTTGCAGCAATCTCACTTACTTTCAGATGATCTTGACCTTCCCTGCAGTCGGCTTCTGCCACGCCACCAAAACCTCCCGCTGCGCTTTTGTCACTCTTTCCTTTTCCCGCGTCGCTTGTGTTGTCTGCGCTTGTAATGGCGGGTTCACTTGTGACCGTGATGCTCGGCGGAGAGGTAGAGGGCGTGACGATCGCCGTAACGTTTTCCGTAACATTTAGTGACGTATCATTTTTCTGCCGTGCACGTCTGGGAAGCGTTGGAGATCGCGATAGGGTAGGCATGGATAAACCTACTTTGATGCTTTGGGTAAACCAAAAAAAGGACCGGGCAATGCTGTAGGGGAGGAATCCTCAGAGCTCCCAAATGCACGTCCGTCCAGCTCGAAAGCGCGAGGTGAAGTCAAGTTGGCGTCGGATTCGGATTCGTATTCAGCGTCGAGTACCGAATCACTTGAAAACGTCATATCTGGTCAATTCGGGGACGGGGAGCACGAATATGACATTAATTTTGCCCTAGCAGGTATCCCTCATCCCTTAATCGTCCCTTAAATGACGGGGCGCGCCAAAAGTGCCTCAGGGGTTCTTCCGATCGCGAAAATAATGGTCCCAGGCAATTCCCCGGGTCGATATCTAGCCGCACCACCACTAACTTCACACGTGCCTCACATCCCTCATCCCTTAATCGTCCCTTAAACGACGGGGCGCGCCAAAAGTGTCTCAGGGGTTCTTCTGATCGCGAAAATAATGGTCCCAGGCGATTCCCCGGGTCGATATCTAGCCGCACCACCACTAACTTCACACGTGCCTCATATCCCTTATCCCTTAATCGTCCCTTAAATGACGGGGCGCGCCAAAAGTGCCTCAGGGGTTCTTCCGATCGCGAAAATAATGGTCCCAGGCAATTCCCCGGGTCGATATCTAGCCGCACCACCACTAACTTCACACGTGCCTCACATCCCTCATCCCTTAATCGTCCCTTAAACGACGGGGCGCGCCAAAAGTGTCTCAGGGGTTCTTCTGATCGCGAAAAGAATGGTCCCAGGCGATTCCCCGGGTCGATATCTAGCCGCACCACCACTAACTTCACACGTGCCTCATATCCCTTATCCCTTAATCGTCCCTTAAATGACGGGGCGCGCCAAAAGTGCCTCAGGGGTTCTTCCGATCGCGAAAAGAATGGTCCCAGGCGATTCCCCGGGTCGATATCTAGCCGCACCACCACTAACTTCACACGTGCCTCACATCCCTCATCCCTTAATCGTCCCTTAAACGACGGGGCGCGCCAAAAGTGCCTCAGGGGTTCTTCCGATCGCGAAAAGAATGGTCCCAGGCGATTCCCCGGGTCGATATCTAGCCGCACCACCACTTACTTCACACGTGCCTCATATCCCTTATCCCTTAATCGTCCCTTAAATGACGGGGCGCGCCAAAAGTGCCTCAGGGGCTCTTCCGATCGCGAAAATAATGGTCCCAGGCGATTCCCCGGGTCGAT